CGCTTCACGTTTTCTAATAATGATAGGGCACCTTTTGTAGTTATTGCGGCCGTATATTTTACAGAATGAAAGTCATCTAGTCAGATTATTGAGTACTTTTGTGATGCTTTGTAGGATTCTATAAGGAAGCATGTTCTTTGAGCAGGTTTTGAGTTGCTTCAATGTTAATTTGATTACATGACTTTTTTTAATTCGTAAGGAGTAAGCCATTAGTACGATATAAACTTTTTTATAAATATGTATGAATGTTAGACCGTTTACATAATAGGCTCTTTTTGGATTGCTTTAGTTGTAGCATCAATTTTAATTATTTACGTATGATGTCCTAAATTAATAATACTTTGTCGTTTATTATAGTACTAATACTAAATATAATATCCGCGCTGCTCCCTCCCTTTTTATCTGCAATAAATGCATTTTATTTATTGGTACGTTTCAAAATAATCCTTTCCGCCAATTACTGGGGCTGCAAATGTTACCTGCGACCTTTGACAGCCGACCAATCTACGCGATCACGACATCCGACTTTCATTAATCCATTATACGGGTAAACGTTAAGCAGATAGAACCTTTACAGCTAGTAAGTTCGATGAATTTCGTTATTAGTCAACTAAATGGAATTTTCTTCAAGGCTCCTTACTATCCCTTTTACATTTTTCTATCTACATGTCTTCACATGCCATTGCAAATCCGTCGAAAATAAACTTGACCCAGTACGCTGATGACATCGCCTATATTATGGTTTACAATCCGGCTGGTTGGAATTTAAAAGATTCAGTCATATTTAACAGTGCTTAAGCCAAGCTTTTCAACATTAAAGTTGGTAATTAAACCGTCAAAAAGTCGCTTTATGATTATAACAAGATTGATGCTTCCCTAAATAAATTCCTAGTTTCTCACTAAACCTAACTGTCATTGCTCGAAGCAAGAGGGTTAAATACCCGTGATAGTAAACCATAGCTTAAGCTGGCTTCGCATCTTCCTTGAATCCTAAGCAAAACAAGCCATAGCCATTTTATATCTCTTATCAAGAAGGAGAAACAAATGCGCTTAAGAAATATGCTTCTATAATACAAATTGACTATTCTCTCGCTGAATTTCTATGCCTCTATTGCCTGGGTCAATTTTTGAGTGGATATATTCACCGACTACTGATATAAAAATCGCTTTTTTTCTGCGAATGGTGGTGGCCTTAAAGCAGCAGCAGCTTATTTGCGCTCTCTATCGCCTTTTTAGATTACCCGTTTTTTTTTTAAATTATAATTTGAAGGTTTCAAGTGCCTATGATAAATAATAACTTTATTTAGTTGTAATAAGCACGCAAAATTTTATTTTTTCTTCTTTTGCGGAAATGTAATTTAAGTTTTCCTCTCGTATGAAACGAATTTCGCTATATTTTTACGTAAAAAAGCGCTCTCTTTAACTGTTTTAAATTCTGTTGCCCTCGATTTTTGTTCTGCCGAACTTCTTAATTCTATATCTACGATCTTATTACCCTTAGCGTCCTCGTTAAGTTTCATTTTGCATACGACCTAGTTCTACTAGCTCGACATCCTTTGCAACATAGCTTAATGGTGGCTTCTTTACCTAACAGTAACTCTTAACACTCTTGTAACTTCGATCACATTTTCGCGCTTTTTCACTTCTTTCGTTCTAAACCTCCACCTCGCGTAGTTCTTCCTATTCAACTGTAGGCGCCAACCATTCTGTTATATGTGATATTGAGTTATTATTATATATTGCGTTTTTCTTGGATATACTATATATAACTGTGATAATAAAGAGCTTCCGTTCTAGTTAAAGGCGTTTTCGTTAAGAAAGTTGTTAGATTTTCCACCATGCCATAAAGTGGACGCCCACTGCAAGGGGACAAGATATCATTTATTAGGATATCGAGTTCTAACAGAAGTCGAAGCTCCGCACCCTCTATTACTAGGGAAATAGTAAAAGCTGCATCGATCAGAAATTAGGCATGTAGTAAGCCAGTTCTTTAAATAAAAAAAAAATACGCTGTAAAATTTAAAACCCATTAATGTATTGACTTGTTTAAGACTTTTTTACCTAACTTAAAAAAACGCGGGAGTTTCTTTATTTCCAATTTTTTTTATAAAAATTAGGGATAAACTGCTATGCCTTTTAGTTTTGCTAATGGATGGTTAGCTTAAAAAGTGATTGTAAAGTTATCTATAGACACCTAGAGTAAAGGTATCCTCTTATTAAACTTTTTTAACAAAGATTTAAAACAAGGTTGTATGAAGTTATTAGCTAAAATTGTCCTTTGATTTATAATAGTAAGCAAGGAGCAGGATGTTTAAATAGGTCGAAGACAAAGACGAAGGGGTAGTATTGATAAAATATGAAAAAAAATATTAAATAAAACTAAGGAGGTAATTTTACATCAATTTACAAAAATGAAGAAAAAATAAAAAACCACGAGAAGGAAATCGAAAACTATAAATACAACGCTAACTCTGCATGTAACATGAAATAAAAAAACGGAATAGCGTTACCTGCTAAATTTTATCATGTTTCTTTAAACTGAAACCACTGCGCCTAGCAATTTTGGGTGAACCTTTTATAGCATCGCTAAGAATGGATGGAGCGTTAAACTCCCCCACTACGGAAGTTTTTTGTTAAATCTTTATATTTGGAAGGGTGCAACAGTATACCACAGTTCACTTATTTATATCAAAAAAGTTAATCTTTAGTTTGAAGTTTTAATTTTTTAAAAAGGATTTTACTTATTAATGTTATTGAAGAAACTTAAGTAAGATAAATTAAGTTTTTAATTAATCTTATCAAGAAGAAAAAGTTTAGGTTTGGGTGGCATCTATATATGAAATGTAAAGGCTATGGGTAACTCAAAAGATAAACCTGAAGGTCTTCAAAAGGTAGGTTCCAAGAAAATAGGGCACCTGAAAATTGATGATGAAGGACAGCTTTTTTTAAAAAAAACAAGTTCTGATGACTTGATGCGCGGCATCCAACTAGGGCTTCACCAAGCAGTAATAGTAGTTTAATTTTTTTTATAGTTACTTTTAAAAAATTGTTACTATTTTAATAATGCAACTTCTCAAATTTTTTAATATTTTTTGTGGGTGTGGGAAGCTTGGCAGTTTGACACGTATTCCCGAGCATGATGTACTTATAACAGATTTTGATGAAGTAGTCACCTGCGATTTTCCGAGGTTTCTTAATTAAAGTTATTTTTTAAAATATAAAAAAACTATCATCTTTTTCATTCTTTACTATAAATAATATATTTATTAACCAAAAAGAGTTGGTTCCGCTACGACTCCTGCGCACAATACACCTGATTTTACGTTTACTTCTATTGCGCCGAAGGCTTTTCGTTATTTTCGCAATTATTACAAAATTGATATTTTAGATTTTATGGTAGTGGTCGTCTTTTTTTTTTAAAGAATAATATAAAATTTAAAAATTAATTATAATTCAGGTTTCTTTATGTGATAAGCCTTTAAAAGAATTGAGCAATCCTGGAGCAAGCGGCTCTCTCTTTTATGTTACTGATGACGATCAGTACATCGTGAAGACTTTAGAAAACAAGGAAGCTGTATTCTTGCGAAAATTACTTCCGGGCTATTTTTTAGTATTTTTTATTGACTTTCTTCTTTTTTTTATCTACAATTATTATTTTAAAATATTTATTAATTTGTCCGGTTATTAAATTTTTAATATTTATTTTATAATATATTTGGTTTGATATATTAAAATAAAATTGTTTAGTAAATTTAAAAATTACTCTTAAACTTTTCTCGACTATATAATTTTCTTATTTTTTCAGTTTTATAGCTTCAGATTAATAACTTTCTTTTATTTATATTTTTTAAAAATACTTATTAACTTTTTGCTTTAGTTAAATTAGTTTATTATGGTTTTATTTTTATAATATATTATTTTTACCATAAACGTTTTAGTAAATTTACTTATTCACCTTACTATGTAATTATATTTAGTTTCATTTTATTTGTGTTTTTTTAATTTTTTCATTCAGGTTATTTATTTTAAAATATAATATTAACTTCTACGTTTAGTCAATTTCTTTTATCGTTATGATTTAGTATGTTTTTGTTTTATTTATTTTTTACGCTTTAAGTTGGATTTATATATTAATTTAGTTTTTTTAGTTTTTTTCTCTTTAATTTTCATTTAAGAAATTTTTTTAAGTAACTTTTACGATCAGTTTTTTCTATTATCTTTATATTTCAGTATATTTTGTAATTATTTCAATTATAAAACTTTTAATCAAAATTATTAATTTTTTAATGGTTTACCTTAATTTATAATTTTCATTAAAAATAATTGTATATCTTATATAAACTTTTACGTTTTATTTTTTTATAGTTAAGTTTATTGAGATATAAAAAAAGTAATAAATTGTTTTTATTATAACAATTAATTTTTAATTTTTTCTTTTGTTTTACTTAACTCCAAATTTATAATTTTTTTAAACTTCCTTTTGAGAATTTCTTTACATTTTAAAACTTTCACTTTTAGTTTTTTCTTATAATTTCGTTTAGTTAGATTTTAAAAAAAAGTAATAAATTATTAGTTATAATAAATATTTTTTTAATTTAATAAATTTTCTTTTATGGTTTTACTTAATTTTAAATATATAATTTTTGTTCTAAACTTTTGAGATTTTCTTACATTTATCGTTCATTTATTTTTTTTTAGTTAGTATATTTGGTGTTTAAAGAAGTAATATATTATTTTTTTAAATTAATTATAAATTTTCTTTTGTAGTTTTACTTAAATTTATATATAATTTTTTATCATTTTTTTAAAATTAATTTTGTAGTTATTAACTTTTACGTTTTAATAATTAATAATTCTAATATCAAAAAAGTGATTTTTTATAATAATTTTATTTTAACTTCTAAATTTTCTATAAAGAACATGACTCAAAGCCAAGCAACTTTACTACCCAAATTTTTTGGATTGTTCATTTACGGGACTAATTTAGGAAGAAACATTCGTTTAATAATTATGAATAATTTATTACCTCGAGAAATTCCTTTACACGAAAAGTTTGATTTAAAGGTTTTATAAATTTTTATTAAACATTTTAAGTTTATTTGTTTTTTATTTATGTTTTACTATATTTTTATATTTTTGTAATTTAACAAATAATTTTATAATTATTTTTATGATTTACAGTATTATTATAATTTTTATATCAGCATTAATACTTTTATTATATTTTATTATTTATTTTTATAATTTTTAAATTAATAAAATGTTTTTAGTTCTGATTTATTATATTTTCATTAGTAATTAACCGAATAAATTTAATAATATTTATATTTATAATTAATTGTATATTAATAATTTTCAAATAAACTTTAAGGTTTATTATTATTGTTCTTTATGATTTACTATATTTTTCTTTTGTAACCAAACACTTAAATTAATTATTATTTTTATTTATGTTATACTATATTTTTAATAATTATTAAACAACTATTTAATATATTGTATATTTTTAATTATAAATAAATTTCTTATGATTTTTATTTTTGAGTTATTATACTTTTTAATTTGAAATTAAACAATTCAATTTGTTAAACATATTTAATCTTTTTTTAAATATATATTTATTTTGAATTATTTTTTAATTTGTAATTAAAAATTCAATTGATGAATATATTTAATTATGATTTACTATATTATTTAATTTGTATAAATTTATTAATGTTTTAATTTATGCTTTACCAACTTTTATATTTTTATATAAACGATTCAATTTATAATGAAATTTTATTTAACATTTAATCTATTTTTATTTTTACTATCTTTTGGTATTTTCAATTTAATAATTATTTTAATTATTATTTTTGCCTATTTTTATTATTTTTTTATAATTTTATTATATAAATTTTAATTTTTTGTTTACTAATTTTTTTTTAAATATATATATTTATTAATATGGTTTGCTGCAGTTATAAATTATTTTTAGTTTTCGAAATTTTACTTTAAATTGAGTTAATATTTATCTGAAATAATTATTTATAATAAATTATATTATTAAATCTCTTTTGTATTTATTTTTTTTGAGTATATAAATTATTGTTATAAGTAAAAACAATTTTTTTATTCTTTTCGTTTGTTTTAATATTTTATTTATATAATAAATTTTATTTTTTTTGTAAGAAAACAGTAATTATTATCTTTACTACTAAATTTTTTTATTAATTTTTTTTCTTTTTATTAAAATCTGTTTAAATTAATATATTTTGCTTGTCTTGTTATTTACTTTAAAATTATACTTTTATTTAATAATTTTTATTATTCCGATATTTTAACTTTTGTAATAATTTTCTTTTATTTTTTATTTTTATTTTTATAATTTAATTTTTGAAATGCCTATAATTTATATCTTTTGTAGTTTCTTTTTCTAATTAGTTATAGACAATATTTTATAACTAAACAAAAAAATTTATTTACTTTTTAATTTTTTACTGCTAATTTTTTTTTGGCTAGTAAAAAGTTTTTAAACCTTTTTATTATTACTTTTTTTAATGGATGCGAATTTTTAATTGAAATTTACTTTTTTAATTTGTGTTAAAATTTTAATCTACTTTAATTTATTAATATATTTTTTATTGACTATTTTAATTTTTTATATAAAATAATTTATATATATATATATATATATATACATATATATTTTCTTGTGTTATTATTACTAATAAGTACAAAAATTTTATTATATTGTTTAGTGAACTTTTGTTTTTATTTTTTATGAAAGTTTTATACTTGATTTAACGCAATTATTATCTCTTTTTTTTGAATTATTATTTATATCTAATATAATTTTTGAAAATTACAATTTTATTGACTTCATTAGGTCCCTTTTTATTTGGCATATTTTTCTTAAAAGGGATCTCTTTCTGGAAGATTTGCCTCCAAAAAAGAGTTAAGTAAAGCCTCGCCCACTTTAAAGGATTTGGATTTCTTAAAAGTTCACAGTTCCGGAATTGCTTTGTCTAAAGAAACCTTTTTATTAGTGAAAACAACTATTTCCAGCGACTGCAGAGTATTATTATTATTATTATCATCACCATTATTATTATTTCTACTATTTTTAAAGGTTTTAAGGAGCTTTAAAATAATGGACTATAGTCTGCTTGTTGGGATTCACCAGATTTCTAAAGAAACATTTACTCAACTTAGCCACGTGGGTTCTGGGAGCGAGCCGGAAACGTTATCGTGATTTTTTTAATTACTTTTTTTTTATTTTATGAGAAATATTTTTGTAGTATTTAAAATTATTATTATTTTTTTTTTTACGGATTTTTATTATATATATTTTTACTTTTTCTAATTTAATTATTAATTTTTTTTAAGAATTTTAATTTTTTTTATTGTTTGTACGACTTGTCTTATATGTTTTTTTACTATTCATTTTATTTTTTTTAAAATTTTTATTGGTTTTACTTTTTATAAATAACTTTGTTGCGTTTATTAATATTGGAGCTCACTTTATTTTTGGATTTATAGAGAATAGCTTAAAAATTATTATTATCATTATTATGATTCTGAATGCTTTCTTAATTTTTTTTCTTTTTATAAAGTTTTTACTATACTATATATTTTATTTTTTTATTATATTTTAATTAAAACTTTTAACTTTAATTTTTTTTAAAGCAGATTAAAAAATATATATTTTTAGTCTTTATAAAATTTTTACATTAAATAAACCACGTGTTTAAGGCAAGGCATCATTGGCTTTGACGAAAATGGCGAGTCGTTTCTAATATTTTTGGGTATTATTGATATTCTTCAACGCTTCAAACTAAAAAAAAAATTCGAATACGGGCTCAAGTCTGCTGTGCATGACAAGGTTTTTTGTTTTTAATAATAATAATAATAAATAAATAATAGCAAATAATAATTATAATAACTAATAATGATAAATAAGAAAATTAAAAATAAGAATAAATAATAAGTAAAATATATAATAAATGTTCATAATTATTTTTTGTAGATTCTATTGAGTTTTTATATATTTATAATTTCTTTTATAATATTTAACAATATTATAATATTTTTTTCAATAATTTTTATATTTACTCTTTCTCAGATTTTTCATAACTTTTGTGTGTTATTTTTTATTATAAATGCTTGCGAATAATTATTTTTATAGATAAAAATAGTTATGATTCTTATTATTATACTTTTATTTATGTTTTTAATATAATTATTATATAATATTTATAATATTGTACTTTTTTATTTATAAGTTTATATTATTTTTATTAAATATTTTAATTTTTTTTATAAGTATTATTTTTTCAAATATTTATATTTTTAAACTTTATATTATATTTATATTATTAGGAAAAATCCTTCTACATTTTTATATTTTTTTTATTATTATTATTATTGTTATTTTTATAAATTATTTTGAAATGCGTATTTTCAGTTATTTTATAATAAAATAACTTTAATATTTCTAATTAAAGTTTTTTTTTTCATTGTCATGCTTCGTGTGAATATTTGCCAATAAGTATATAACTTTTTTTTTTGGATTTTATTATGAATATATTACGCCTTTATATATATATTGTTACTATTTAAATAATGTATTTTTTATGAGTTTTTATATATTTAGAATCATTATGCAAAATACGTGCGAAATATAAAAAAGTTAAAAAAGTTTTTTGTTATACATTTTTATGTAATATTTTTTCGTTTTCCGTGTAAACATTTATATAATAAATATTTTTTATTATGTTTTTATGTATATATTAAGTAAATATAAATTTTAATACACTATTTAGTTTTTTTAAAATATCACTGTTATAGAAAATATTATTAATAAATATATTTATCATAATTTGTATAGTTACTTTTTTTAATACTAAAATATCATAATAATTTTATTACATAATATTTTATTAACATACAAAAAAAAATCCCTCTCAAAGTTTTTCATTGTAACAGTTTTAAATTGTTTTTTATTTCATAAAAATAATAAATTAAAAAATTCATAAATTATTTTTATCGAGAAAATTTCTTAAAATATTTTATATCAATTTTATACTTCTTACTTGTATTATCAAAAGTTTTTTATAACATTTATTAATAAATTTTTGTAAAAGAATATTTTTATTTATTATTTATTATTTAAAATTTATAAATGTTTTTATTATTTATATTACGGAATGAATAAATTTTTTTTTAAAATGCACTCTTCTGAATTTTTTCAATAAAATATTTATTTATTATTTAGTATTGAATATTTTATAACATTTTCATTATTTCTGTTACCAAGTTAATTTTTTTTTTCAAAAAATCTTGAGAAATTTTTTAATAGAATATTTTATTACGTTTATTTTATTTATTATTTAATATTTTTATAAAATTTTTATTATTTATAATACGAAATAAATATTTTTCTTTTGAAAAAAAAATTTTATGACAAATTTTCGTTTATATATTAATTAATAAATATTTTTTAATATTTCATTATTTTTGTTACTAAGTAAATATTATGTTTTAAAAAAATCCGTAAAAATTTTTTAAAGAGTACTTTATTTTGTTTTTTATATTATTTAAAGGTTATACTCACCGTAAATATTATTTAAATATTGAAATATCTCTTTATTTTTATTATTTATTATTTTATTAAATATAAATGATAACGCTTATGGAAAAACTATATTGTGTATATTTTTTCAAATATATTTATTATTTATTTTAAAGATATTTTTTGTTAAAAATATTATTTTTAATATTTTTAATATTTATAGTTTATAATATTTTTATAAATAAAATACTTTACAACAATTATATAATTATTATATAAAACGTAGAATAAAATTTTATATTAAATTTTATTAATATTTTTATATTATTTATACTATATTTTATTAATAAATTATAATGCAATTATTTGGTTATCGATAAAATGTTGTCTTAGTTATTATACTTTAATAATATTTTATGTTATTTATGATTTATTTTATATTATGTTTATTATGAAATATTTATATCTAATATATTTTGTTAATAAAATATTATTCAAGATAAAAATGTTTAATAATATTTATATATCAAACTTTTACAACTTTTTTATTTTTTATTTGTATTAAAGAACATTAATAACTATTATATATATATTATTTTTTAATATACCTTACAACATTTGTATGATTACTATAAAAAATTTTTATTAATATCTATATATCAAACTTTATATAACTTTTAAATATTCTTATATATAATAAAAATAATAATAATAACAAAATTTTATATATCTAAGATTCTTATATAAATGTTTAATAAAATTTATATATAAAACTTATATTAATTAACTTTTTTATTATATATTTGAGAGCATATTTCTAAGTACGTTTTATATTACTTATTATTAATTACAATGTTGTTAGTAAAGTATTACGTAAAATATTTAATAATTTTTATATATTATACTTTTATTATTACTTTTTAGATATATAAATCTATTAAGATTTATATATAAAAACTTTTTTTCATAAAACTTTAGAATAAAAAAAATAATTACTTTATATGTAAATTGCTATTATCTTCTTATATAATATTATATTATATAGAAATTTATAAATTTTAATAAAATATATTTTTTTAATAAATTTATCACCAAACTTTAATTTTTTTTGATGTAAATAATATTTTGTGTTATTTTTTTGTATTTAATCATGATATTAAAAATATTACATAAAAATATAAAACCTGTAAGATTTTACTTTTTTACTTTTATAGGATTCCATTTCAGTATGCCCTCCAAAAAAATATTCTCAAAGATTTTTAAATTTTGTACTCAAGCGCGTGTTTCATGAGCTGGACTCTCAGCAGCACAACGCACTGGTTAGAAAACTAAATATTATAAGAAGTTTTTCGAGAATTTCTTCTACTCAGGTTTCTAAAAAAAAACCTCGAGACGAAGTGAGAGCCGGTAATTTAAATTTCGTTTATAAATTTCGTTCTTATATATATCTATATATATTATAGAGGAAACTGGAAATAATAATGAAGATAGTTTAAGTAAAAGGAGATTGAGTTTTTAATTTTATTTAGAAAATTTTAATTAAAAATGTGAGGTTTTCTGTTTTCCAATCAGAAGACTCTTTTCAAGCGTTAATGAACTTTTTTTAACTGTTATTCGAAAGAGTTAATATTAATTTTTTTTAAGGTTTTATTTTAATAAAAAAGTTTATACACTTTAAAATTTTACTTTTAAAAATAAATATTTACACCAACGATTTTAAAATTTTTCTATAAATAAATTTCTTTCTTTATAGTGTTCCAATTTGTTTTTATTTTTGTAAATATTTACATATTTATACCAATTATACATATAAATGTCGTTTCTTTGTGCGGGATGCTCGTCATTTTAATTTGAAGTTTTGTATAATATAAAAACTTACAGAATATAAACATTTTCCATTAATATGCTGGCCTTCGATACATCTTTTTTACTTAATCTTGAGAACTTACGGCAAAATCGGCAACTCACATGTTTTTTTATTTGCTATGAAGAAAACGCGCTGCTAATTTTACTATTTACGCATTTTTATTAGTAATTTTTTATTTAAATTATTTTTTCGCTGCGCTCATTTCTTCATTAAAATAATTTATTAATTAAATCGGCAATACTTAAAATTAGTAATATCAAACCTACTGAGTACAAGTTGTGTTGTTTTTAAAAAAGTGCTTTTCTTACAAAAATTAAGAATTGGTTGCTATTGCAAATAAAAATAAATTATTTTATTATTTTATATTTAACGAACTTAAGAAATTGCATTGTACAATTAATATTAATTTGTTGTTTAAGGACTTTTTATATAAATCTTAAGTTATAAAAGTCTTCAACGTTTGATTTCTAATTCAAAATTTTTCTCAGCTCACAATTTTAGAAACGGCAATAGCTGTTCTAAAAAATTTAAGTCAAATACTACTAAAGTACATCGCAATGCCCTTTAATTAAATTTATTTTGTGTTTTTCTGGTTAAAAATAAATTTATTATTGACTTATATAAAGGAAATTCTTAGTTATTTATGACGATAATTTTTGTTTAAGTATTTTTAGTGTAACATTTAAAAATATAATAGTTTTTTAATTAATCTGAATTAATTTAATAGTACAGTAAACAAATGTTTCTTGCAAGAACTCTTCAATAACAGAGGAAATGAAAAACTTTCCTGCTAAAATGCTTTGAATAAAAAAATTAAAAAAAAAAAATAAGCGCGAATTACAGTTTAATTTAAGTTAGTTTTTATTATGGAAACTTTTTGAATGTGATGATCCGAAATTTTCGACTCCAGAATTTTATTTTCTGACAAAATGCAAGTGGAATTCAGTAACTCGCTGCTATTTTGCAAAAGAATATTTTTATATTTGCCCGCATAAGCCACGTGGTCCAGACACACATCGCAGCAAGTCGGGGTCGGATCATTTATAATGATCGTCTGATAAAAGCACTAAATAATAAAATATGCAAAAAATATTAAATTTTAGTGTGCACTACTTTAGTTACTTCCGACCACTGTGAATTCTGTAAGCTCGCGTGATCCATGTTGAGATCGCCAGCAATGAAAATATGCTCAACGGGTCTTTCAAAAAGAGAAGGGACGCTATTATCCAACCAAATCCCAATTTCTTTAACTTGCTGTGTTTGAACGACGTGGCCGCTGGCTTGCATGTGCGTGTTTATGACTATTACTGGGCCCTCATCGCTTGCTATCTATAATAATTTAATAAAAAAGCTACACATGTTTTTAAAATGCACCGAAAAAATTAAACAAGTGCCCATATGAATCCTTTATTAGCAAAAATATCCTCCCCACCGCTGGATTTATAAGGCTGGAATCCGCAGGAAATAATTGGTTTGGAGGAAAACGTTAGTAGTCCAGAATCGAGAAGGCGCCAGAAAGAAAGCGTCCTAACTCTTATAAATTTCAATCTTAAAAATCATTAAAAAAAATAACTAAAATTTTTATTTAAGTTTAATAAATCAAAAATTAAATTTAAAAAATATTCAGAGCTTAGTAAGGTTCATACTTGTATTTACATAAAGAAATTTACTTTTCCTATTAAAAAGTTTGAACCACTAACCTTGTACTAGTGTTGTGAGGAAAAATTTCTTGCAGCGCCTTCACAAAATATCGCGTAGTGTTATACACAAGAAATCGTGGAATAGGGATCACAAGAGATAGTAGTAATGACAGGCTGAGTAAAGGAAATGTGCAAAGTCTTCCAAAAAGGGGTTCCAAAAGTCGTGCAAGGAAAATAAAGAAATATCCTAATAAATTTCCGCTAAAGACTTGTATATACAACTGGGCATAAAAGCTCACTCACCCACACCAGCACGCCAAGACCAACACTCCTGTAGACAAATCTTATCAACAAAGGAGTAAAAACTTTAGGAAAATTAAATTTGTGAAAACTCTTATTTATTCAAGTTACTTTTATAACTAATTTATCCTTTACACAAAAAATATAAAAGTGAACACTATAAATATAGGTTAATCCTCACAAAAAAAATGGTGAATTGCAAAGACACGCCTAATAGTTTAATTATATGCTGCAGGATGTATCTATGAGTTAAACAATTACAAGCATGTAACTTACTACAATTAAATCTTCCTTATTTTCTTTCCCTTCGTTAATTAAGATCTTACTTAACTCATCAGCGCACTGAGCAGGTTGAGTTAAAGCCTTGGGATTAGCAAAAGGAATGCCCCAAGTGTTCCAAGAATAGATTGTAATTTTGGGCATTAAACCTTTTAAATAATTCCCTCTATAAAAAGCTAGAAGAAAGGATTACTTTTTAGACGGGAATACTTAAGCTAATTCAAAGCTTAGGAGTAATATTCAATAGATTTTTGTCTAGTAAGTACGAGTGACGTAGATAAAACTCTAAATACGCTTAAGAAGTGGGACGGCAGAGAAGTTAATTTTTATTTCTATTTACGCTGTCCTTTGCAACTACGACATTGGACCTTTTTTGGTTCCAAAGTTAATGTTAATTCATCAAAAATAAGATAGAAGCATGCTAAGCGCCACAAAAGAAGTAAAGCGACAGCGTAGACATTTTCCGAAAAACAATTTTTTTTGTATATCCAGAGTTATGGAAGTTTCTTTAGAGCCAAGGCCACGATGACCGCATAATTATTTTCCGTATTTTCGATTTTCTACGCTTCAGGGGATTTAGTACTCCAGATTATCTAAAATATAAACGAAGGCCCAAGGACCCACTGACTTACTGAATTAATTATACTTCATAAAGCTATTAGTATAAGGATGATACTAGTGAAGTTAATGTTTTAAGGTTCAGTGTTTTACAATAATTCCTACACTCTATAAAATTGTTTCATAAGCGAATTCCTGTCTTGACTTGCAAAAAAAAAACTTATTTCTTCTACCACGAAAAGAGTTGACAACACACAATTCCACTAATCTTATAAAACAGTCCTGACATGAACAGTTTAAAAATATTGCAGAAGAAACGTATAAAAATCACTAGTAGCGAGAAACTAATAGCTTTTAACTTAAAGTACAAATGTATTTTACCAAACATATGACGGCATAGATATTAATGCAATAAAGTAACATAATAATATAAAACAATTAAGGTGATATTACAGTTATCAGAATCTACTATATATCAACATTGTACAGATATAATTTAATCATTTTATCAATGAAATACTCATTATAACCTTTCTCATCTATTCTCAAAGTACACCCAGGGTAGCTATACTATAGTTTCTAAAAATTAATATTTTAAGATGTACAGTTCATCTCTTGAGAAAACTGCATAGTTTTTTAATTTACCAACATTAACAAAAAACTATTATTATAAATTTCTGTTTACAAAAATAAAAAATTATATTTAAAGTGAATATTTAGTCTTTATACAAAAGAGTGATATTATCTTTAAATGTTTATTGCAAATCGAAGTTTTCGTTGTCTCTTCTTAAGTTTACTTGGAGAAACATCTAAAAAAAACCTTCATTGGTTTTTAGCGATGGGGTCAAAACTTTTGTGCCTTAGCCTTATGCGTGGTAAAGGTTACTAGCATTTGCCTGTTAAGAAACTTCTTTTTTTTATTCTATGCCTCACTCTGGGAGAGAGGACCCCTCCATCATTGCAGAAAGTGAAGTTAGAAAGGAGATTCGTAGTAAAAGTGATTGTGAAGAAGAAGCTGATAACGATGTAGGGAACCTCAAAAATGTTTTAGATAGCAATAGTAACCGAGAAAGAAGCAGTAGAAATAATCATTCAAAAAATTTATCGAAAAATTCAAGGGGAAGCGGTAGCGAAATAAAAACTTTGGACGAAGAAGTAAAGAGGGATAAAAGAAGAGGTAGGAGTAAGGATAGAACTCGTAAAGGAAGGGATAAAAGTATAAGCTCAAATAGAAGCGAAAGTCAATCTAGAAGCGCTAGCAGTGGCAAAAGACAGAAAGCAAGTCACCATAAAGAAAAGGGATACTCTGCTTCAGGGAGAACAGGGAAAAGAAGTAGAAGTAAAAGGAAATACGATTCACCCTATCGAAGTTCTTCCAGAAGACGTTATAAAGATAAACGGAATTCCAGCCGTAGCCGAAGTCGTGATAGGTGGCATCGTAGTCGATATGACAGTGAACGAAGTAAAGTTGAAAAACGCAGCCAGGATAAAGCTAAATATGCCAAAGATTCAAAATCTTCTCCTTCCAAGCATCAATCTTTTATGAAATCTTCCAAACCTAATTTTTATAATAACGTAGCCCAAAGAAATGAAAAGAGGAAGCTGTTGTGGGCCAAAAAAGAGGTTAAAAAAACATTGTTGCTGTTTATATTACACGTTTAAAAATGCCAAGCTAAAAAAGTTAATTTGTTTGATAATATTCTGTATACTGTTAAAAAAGTTGTATCTTTACCAATTAGAATCGCCTTTATATAATTTAAAAAAATTTCGTTAAAGTTTTTAGTTAAATACATTTAATTCAAGATTATTTATTCTATGTATGGTATAGGCCTCTCAAACCGGTTCTTTTAATCAATGGGAGGCTACTCAATTTGATGATGACGCTGGAAGCAAGAAAGCAAAATTTTTAAAGCTTATGGGAAGTAAAGTTAGTCCTTCGGCTTCAAATCAAATAGCGCTAACCTCTTCAAATAAATTGTATAGCGCAACTAATAATAGTTTAACCGTCAATGAAGATTTAGAAAAACAATTTGAAAGCTCGACGAGGCGTTTGTATTTAGGATCATCTGGCCTCGGAAATTAATAATTTTCAAATACTATCAGATTAAATAACAAAACGCAGTTTTGGCTTTTTTTTATAACCGAAATAAAATTTATGTGATCTCTTAAAATTGGAAGTTTACGTTATTACTTACAGCGTTTTTAAAAGTAAAAAAATGACAACTTTTAAAGTTTATTCGTGTACTACAAAATCCTTGGTAATAGTTATACCTTCCTCTTTGGCTTGAAAACAGCTTTAGGTTTATATTTTTTTTTAATTTAGTGAAAAGTAAGGATGTAAAAAACTAGAGGGCATTTATAAAACACTTAATATTCCCTTTTTTTTCTCGACTCAAAAGTTGTCCATAATTAGTTTCAATAGTTCGAATATTTACTATGTTGTGGGTTTAATAAAAATTACTTATTTGTTCACGAAACAAAATTTTAAACGTAATATTGGTAAGCCGCTACTGAGTTTTACGTTAAATAAGTTTATACCATTAACAGGGCAATACAAATGAAAGTAAAGAAAGTGTTATAAAATTAGGAGCGGGGGCATAAACTAAGATGTTTAAATCAGGTGGTAATTAACTCAAAAGGAAACTATTAAGACAATAAAAAAGTTATTTATTAAGCGGAGATTTTGACCAATATTAAATTAAAAGAAATAACAAAATATCTACAGTGGCACGAAATTCGTGCGACCGTTTTTTTAAATTATGTCTAACACTTTTAAAAAAAATCGTTCCAGCGTGATGTTATAATAAAATGTAAAAACTCTCAACCCCATTGTATTAATTAATCAAACCTTTTTAACATTCTTATTACCTTTATTTAAACTTATTGTTTGGTAGTTTTTCAAGCCTAAAAAAAATGCCTACTATTACAGGTATTCGGTTGTGCCTCAGTTTTCAAATATTTAGGATAACTTAATAGAAGCTCCAAAGACCACTTTTAAAAAGACATTTGAAGAGGAATACAGGAAATATCAAATTTTTGAACGTAGAAAAAGAGAACAAATAAAATTGCTTTCAGAATGGCGGTAGCTTATTTATCGATAACGACCATTAAGGCCCATAATAAACCTAGTTATTATTGGTACTGAATTTCAATAGCGACTGTACTTTACCGTTTACTGCTCTTTAAACACTACGAGCGCATGAGCTAAAGAGGCCTGAACACCTTGCCCATCATTTTAAGGTAAGGGGGGTGACGAATTTGTACCCTTAAAACGAGTTAATCGCAACACAACTAGGGGCGTCCTCATTGAAGTTGTAACTGATTTCGACACAACCCTTCAGACTTTCAGGGTAGCGAGGTCACTTTAAAAAATTAACAACCACCGATACAATAAAATTTTATCACCATAAAAAAAAAGTTGATAAATACTGTTACAAAGCATCAATCAGGTTAAAAAGCAACCCATAATACAGTTAATACGTTGTTGTAAAGCTCATTTAAGGAGGTTTAAATTTGTGATTAGTTATTTAGTATGCTGCATTTTTGTTTAACCGTTTAACCAACTTGTAAGAACTCCTTCGAAGTTGGAAATACAACTTAAAAAGTTAGAAGCCGTGGTTTTCAGTAAATAAAGATATTTCTTATTATAATTATGCTAAAACGATGCATATATAATTAAGGGCGAAAGTGAGGCTTCTTGATAACAAAAATAATGTTACTAGAAAAGAAAAGTCTAGCTTTATTAAGTTTGAAAGGAAATTAAAGTAACACGAGGTGTGATTGGTGTATAGGATAAAATCATTCCTCTAAGATAAGGAAATATGTAAAGAAGCTGGTGGAAATTTGTGATTAAAGAGAACATAAAGAGTCGTGCAAGAAAAGGGTGAATCAATTTTTTTTAAAAATTAATAATTCACAAGCTGTAGAGTTGAAAAATGGTATAACCCTTTAACTATTACGAATGTACCTATATACCTTATATGAAATGTAGGTTAGGACAGGCTTTTTAAGAAGGGTTTTTAATACATAAATGAAAGTTATATAGTAGGCAGATCTCAAAACAAAATTATAAAGAGCTACATCATAGTCGAGCACGCATCGCATTTTTGTCAGAAAGAGAGCGCCATATATAAAAATTAAAAGTTATACTCGCCTTGGCAATCCTTATTTTCTTATCGTTCTTCTGCCGCTTGTAACCAAGCTACTTAAACAGGACTGAGATACAACAGCACTTCCAAACCATTTAAAGAAGTAGACATCAATTTTTTTTATTTTGTGATATAAAATTTTTATTATTATTAAAGCTCACATCTAATTAGCGCAGGTTAAAAAAGTTTTAAAAAATAATTTAATACGAATGTCGGGATTGTGCTGTACATTTTAGTAAAAATTTTTAGCTTAACCACCTTACCTTTAAGATATTTATAAAGTCTACAAAAATGTAAAGATGACTTGAAGTCATAAAATCTTTTTCTTATGTTTTCTGGTTAGAGCTTAAGGTCCTTACTCTGGCCTCTACTTTATTATAGATGCATTAAAAGTTTATAAATATTATAAAGGTCAGTGTGTGTATATCGCTATAAAATTATTAACTGCTGCCGTAACGTAAGCTTAAAAAGTAATTTAGATAGGTTAATATTGAAATAGAAGGCTAGAATACTAGAAAGTTATTATGGGCATTGTGGTATTACACTACATAACAAAAAACTAACGTAAAATTTATTGTTCACATAAAGCGAACAAGAACAGATTCTTAACCGCAAATACCGTTTAGACCCACGCAAACCACACTAAAGTAATACTCCCAGTTAGCCTGAAAAACCTTTTTTCTAATTATAAATGTAGCGTACGTACTGATGCCTGATTCGAGTCTGTGGAGGCCTGCAAGTATTGTACGAGTAACACTAAAAAACTTTGTGTAAGTCCTGAGAGTATTTTACATATAACATTTACTTGGCAACTTTATTTTCTCAATTTTTTTTTTTTTAGAACTTATGATTGTGTGGAAATTTTTCCTGGGCCTTGTTTGAATGTTGTTATTGGGCCCAATGGTAGCGGTAAATCAGCTCTTGTATGTGGTATATGTTTAGGTATTAAGTTTTTGTTTATTAAAAGATTTACCTTTTAAGTTAAGCCCCCCATAATTAGGACTGGGCGGTAAGCCCAAACTATTAGGGCGAGCGCGAGAAGTGCAAGAATTTATTAAAACTGGGCATCAAAAAAGTCTTATAGAAATTGAATTGTATGTTAATTTTATAACTTTGCTAAATATATATATACCAATATTTCCTGGAATTATTTGAGCTTCTTGCATTAATTTATGTTTTAAAATTTTATAAAGATTCCAGAACTCGAAAAAAAACGATGTGATTCGTAGAGAATTAAATTTAAATAACAATGATAAATGGTATTTAAATGGGGAAGCTGGTAAATTATATTCGTATATATATTTATTTCTTTTCATATGTAACTTATTTTATTATATTATTATATATTCACACTTTTAAAATCTAACTTTTGTCTTATTTTAAGTAAACTGCGTTACTTGTAAAAGTTTTATTTTGTGTGCCCTTTTATATTTGTTGTGAACAACGTATTTTACAGATTTATGATTTCTATATAAATTGATTTCTTACCTTTAAAAATTTTATATTTACTAATTAGTTTTAGTTATATATTTTTAATTTTTTTTTTTTAAAAAGTGAGTTTATTTTTTCTCTATATAATTAAATATTTTATTTAATTATTTTCTTTTGCACGAAATTTTGTCAAAGTCTAAAACAATTCTTTAAGAAGTTGTAAGTTTTTTTATATTTCGTTATCACTTATAATATTGCCTACAACAAATCTTAAAAAAATAAATTACATATTTTTGTTTTTTGTTAACTGTTTTGTTGTTCTTATAAATATTTAAAATCTTTTAAATTTGTGTAATTGTTTGTTTATTCCTTCGCTTTACTACTCTATACTGATTTCCCTTTTTTATTTTTAAATTTAATATTATTATACCTTTTTTATTATAAATTTTAACTTTATTAGAAAAATATATTTTTTATAACTTTTCCATTTTACGTTTTATTATTTAGTTTTATTGTTACCAAACTTTTTTTAAAAAGTATATATTTTGTTGTATATCTATAATATTTTCTTTATTTTTTCATATATTTTTAACTATTAACTTTTATTAACTAGTAAACAAAAAAATTGTTAAAGATTTTGTGAAAAGCCAGAATGTCAAGCTGGACAATCTCTGCCAATTTCTTCCTCAAGATCGAGTACTTTTATAATATTTATTATAAACCTATTGATGTTTATCTTTTTCGTTATTATTATATATTTTTCTTAATGAAAAATTCAGAATTACATAATATTATTAGTATGTTTTTAAAAACTTGTTACTGGTGCTTATTATTTTTATATAATTTTATTATTAACTTTTTTTATAATTTTCTTTAAAATATTAACCGTATCTTTATTTATTTTTTAATAAAAGTTATTGTAATAAAAAAGTTTTTACGTTATTTTTATATTATTTATTACTTATCTTTAATATTTTATTAAAACTATAATAAAGCTTATATAAATATAATTTTCTGTTAATATTTAAAATAAAAAATATATTTTATATTAATTTTTTATTATAACGAAATTTTCGGAAGTTATTCTTTAAAAGTTTACTTATTAACGAATCGCATAGAAGACGAATATTGTTTTGTCGGTTATTTGAAAACACCACTCTTATTGGCTGTTTAACTCAATTTGACCAATTGGCATTATTAACAAATCCAAGTAAAATTTTAACTTGCTGGTTTTATCCAATCATTTTTGCGCTTTATAATATAACACTAACAGCAATTATTTTGCAAACGAATAAATTGAAAGTTTTTTAATCTGTTGTTCCTTTTTAAAACGGGAAAATAATTCCTGAGGTTAACCATTCTTGCGTAATGTTGGCTCAGTGCACTTGTATATCTGCGGTTTTTGCTTTTCTCTTTAATTATCACGTGACTTGGAAGAGCATTAAAAACTTATACTTTTAAAATAATTGAAAAATTCGCTTTATTTATTTATTTATCTTTTTAATTAATTTAAATTTTTTTAAAGAAAACTTCTTATTTTTGGGGCAACCATAATTTTTTTTAGTTCTTAATATTATATTTATTTTTAAACACTTTTATTATACTTCACTTCACTTGTAGTAAAATATTAAAATCAAATATTTATTACACTAATTTCATTTGAATGTAGTACTTATTAAACTTACAAATTTTTTAGTGAATTTTTTAATTACAGAAAGTTTTTAGGTTGTGGAATTTGCTAAGTTGAACCCACAAGAACGTTTGTTGCAAACTCAACAGTCTATTGGAGGAGAAGAAATGACTGCAGTTCTGAACTTTTCATTATTATTTTTTAATAACAATACTTTTAGCTTTTGGATACTATTTTGCATCCTTAAAATATTGTAAAGTTTTTACAACAATTTATATAAAATATTTTGTTATAATTATTATTACTTTATTTAAAATTTCATTATTTTTTATAACAACTTGTAAAGGATTAAATAATAGAATGCTGAAGTAATAATGAACTTAAAAATATATAATGATTATGACAATTTTACTTTTGTCTGAAAAGTTACTATTGACATTTATGTTTAAGATATTTCTTTTTAATTATTTTTGGTTCATTAAAATTAATAAAGTTATTATTTCCTTTTTTATATTTTTAGAGAAATTTCCAAACTTTTATCGTTTGTAAATTTTTACTGCGTACATACTTATTGTTATATATATTTATTTTAAACTTTTCTATTTGTATTTATATTTTTTCATTTATCTAAAGTATATGCACTTTTACTGTAAAATAATTATTATGAACCAAAAAACTTTTTAGAAAACCTGAGCGATTAATAATGAAATAAATAAAAATTGGAGCAAAAGACATACATGTGCAGTAACACTTGACAAAATTGAATATTATGAGCACTTGGCTAGTATGCAGTATTATCGCACATGGCCTAACACGTGTTTACTTCCCAAAAGCACGCTACGATATCTAGAATTTGTTATTAGAATTTTGATTACTTAAAACTTATTTACTATTTTTAATGCACTTTTTTCTTTAACTTTGCATTACTAAAAAGTTTACCCTTGAACTCAATAATGATTTTTTTATAAAAGTTGAATATTATTTATAACTAATTGTGTTTTTTATTATTTAAATCACTTTTTTACTTTTTTATTGAAAATTTATAATAAATATAAAATGAATATGTATAGTTTAAAAATATAAGTAAATTAATAAGAAACACATAAAAACTATACAAAGAATAAAGAAATTCACAATAAATCTGCTTTTCACTACTTTTAATAAATAATAAAACGAAAGAAAATATTTATATTCTAACTTTTTCATTATTTTCTTTGAAAAAAAAAAAATAAGAAATTCAGAAAATTAGTTGAGCTTCAAAAAAAGTTAAAGGAGTCTTCTTTATCAAGAGAACAAGAAGAACAGTTGATTGGCCAGTTAAAAGAGAAAAATAGAATTTTGGAGCCGTAAGTTTTTATATTTTATGAAAATATAGAGGAAAATAAAATTTTTTAATGAAAAATGTTATAAATGTTATAATATATATAAACTTTAAGTAAAATAAAAAAATAACAATAATAGTATGAAGAAATGAATTTTTTAACTTCGTAGAAAAGTAGAGAAAAAAATAATAAAATTTAATATAAACTTTATAATAATAGTAATAATAAAAGTGTAATAAAATGAACATTTTAAATTTTAAAAAATAGAGGAAATAAAATTTAGTGAAAAGTAATATAAACATTAAAAAAAATATAAAAAATTTTAAGAAAAAGAAATTATAATAATATAATTATGAAGAAAAAAAGAGTCGTAAGTTTTTATAAATTTTATTAAAAATAGAGGAAAAAGTTTATAAACTTTAATTAATATAAAATAATGAAAATATGAAGAAATTAAATTTATAATTTTTACTAAAATAAAATAAAATAATAATGAAAAAGTATATACTTTTTTAAAACATATATAAATTATAAGTAGTTATAATGAAGAAATAGAAATTAAAAGTCAGTTTTTTTAAACTTTTTTAAAAATACTGAAGGTTCAAAAATATATTTACAATAAATATGGATGTAAAAAAATTATATAAACGTCAAGAAGAAATAATAATGATATAAAGAAATAATATTCTAAAAGTTGTAAGTTTAGATGAGTTTTATAATATAACAGAAAAAATTTTCTAATAGAAACGTAAAAAAGTATATATGAAAATTAAAAAATAATAATATTAAAAAGTATATTATTACAATAAAAATATAAAAATAAAAGAGAAAAAAGTTTCAAGTCAAAAATTAATAAACTTTACGAAAAAAGTGTTTTTGAAAATAAAAACTTTTTATTATTAAATAATCATCAAAGAAAACAAGGAAGCAATGTTTTTTCAACAAATTTAATGATGCATAGTTTTATTTATTGTAAAAAATAATTTTTTGTACCTTTTTTATTATATTTAAAGCGTTATAGAATTCTTTTTATTACTATTATTTGTGTATAAGAATAAATATTATTCTTTTTACACTTTTTTCGATATACTAAAATAGTTTATAAAACTTTATTTATTATTTATACAACCATAATATTTTTTCAATTTTTTTTATTATATTAAAAAAGTTTATAGAACTCTTTCATTATTAATGTAAGATACTAAATTCGTTTCTTTTTATACTTTTAAATATATTGAAAAAGTATATGAAATTTTATGAACATCTTTCTTTTTAGAAACTTTAAAAAAATTTATTTATATACTTTTTTTATATATTGGAAAAGTTTATTTAACCTTTTTTTATTATTTTCATTAATATAAAGCAATAAATATTTTCTTTTTTTACTTTTAAATATAATATTAATGTATATAAAATATTATAAATATATTTTTTCTATACTTTTTTTGAATATATTGAATAAGTTAATGGAACTTTACTTAGTTTATATGGTTATATACAAAATTTCTTTTTATACTTTTTTATATTTTAAAATAGTTTATATAACTTTCTTATTATTATACATAAAAATAAATAATTTTCTTTTTATACTTTTAAAGATATATAAAAAGTATGTAAAATGTTAAAAATATTATATCTTATATACTTTTTATACATATTGGAAAAGTTTATATGACTTAATTTATTTATTATTATATATGAAGAAAATAAATATTTTTCTTTTATACTCTTTTTTAATTATATTAGAAAAGTTTATAAAACTTTGTTACTATTTTATTATAAAAATATATTAATTTATATCAATAAGTATGTATAAATTTTATATATTTACATTATTTATATGTAGTAAATGTAATAAATATTTTACTTTATATACTTTTTTATTATATTAGAAAAGTTTATATAATTTTATTATTATTATTATAAATAAAATATAATGAATAAATTTTTATTTCATATTTAATAAATTTATACAGCTAGTTTACGCTATTTTTATTTAGCAAATTAACCAATAAAAATAATGTATTTGTTAATCTACCAATAAATTAATTACTTTTATATTTGTATAGTTTGTAAACAAATCAGCAAATTTGCACCGTTTTAGTAAATTTTAAATTCCAGTAAAAAAGTTCAATAAATATAATGAAATTCAAATTATTAAAGTATTGAAAATTAACGAAATACTTAAATTATAATTTCTAAGTAAATAATTCTTCATTTGAAGTTAAAAAAAAAAACTACCGCAAAATATATTAATAATTTTAATGAACGGACTCAACCTATTATATTGATTATATGCATTTACCTACTTGCATTGACTTTATAAGTAAATTTGTTTATTTTCAGTAAAATAAACTGCAGCATATTTTTAAATAGTAATAAGAGGGGGGAAAAAAGTAAAGAGTATAAAAATTGGTAAAAGTTTATTTTATAGAAATAAAAGTCACCTGGGCTCAGGGGCGATGTTTTATTTTTGTCAATAAAAGTTTTTATTAGCCGCTCATGAGATAGTGCACGTGACATACATCGTCCTTATAGATTTGTTTATATTAGCTGGAAGGCTTAACGACTTCTAAATTTATCAATAGAATTTGCTATTGTGAAGCGTTTATTGTAGCCATTTATATTTTAAAAAACTTTTCCTATTCTTTCAGTTGTTGACCAATAATAGTTTCTTTTTTAATGAATATTTAACCGTTTTTGGAAAGCGTCAGTCTTGCTTTTCTCATTTTATAGAGGAGTAACTATGTGCTCCAGGTTTTAACTAATAGAATTGAATAAGGGCTGCTCATTAGGTTGCACTTTTATAATGATCTTATTTTTGCACGTGATGGCGGCTCTTCACAGTTTTTCTTTTTATTTTTTAAATGTATTGTAAAAAAATTTAACCACTTAAATTTTTTTTTTAATTTCTTTATATAACAATATTAAAAAATTCACTATTTTTAGGGATATTTTAAAGTTTAAAGAGCGCCAAAAAGTGGTGGAAGAGCGGGAACTCATTTTAAAAAAACGCAGCTGGGTCATCTACGACATTGCACGTGCTGAATACATTCAAGTGAAGAACCACAAAAAGGACTTGAGGTCTAAAATTGCTCAGGTTAGCCACGTGGAGGGTGGACGGCAGAAAAAAAAATTTATTTGGCTTATATGCTCGAAAAGCGCTAATGTACTGGGAAGCTTATTAATTTTGTTGGGGCAGGTCGCCTATAATTATAGCGATAATAAGCTGTAAAGTTTTGTTCCTCTTGACCAGTTACAAAGCTTCAGCATCTCAAACCTTCTATTGTTCCACGTGTGTTAGCATCTTTATTTGCTTATATAAGTTTTCATGATAATTTTTGTTAAAAAAGTTTACTTTTTTTTTTCCGGTGAAAAAAAGGATATTAAAAAAAAGCTCTTATTCTCTCATCTTTAAATATATAAAGCCAATTTTTTTGTATTTATTATTTTTATCTTTAATAGCATAATCATACTAAATTAACTTTTTTTTGTAATACTTATAAAAAAATAGTCTTGATAAGTTTTCAATCTTTTTAATAATATGCTTCATGATAAGAAAATAACCTGAATAAACTTTATAAGCAAAAGAGAAAATTTTTAGGGCCTTTCTTTTGCTTATTTTTTTTTGTTAAAAATAGTCTTCAGTAAACTTCTTTTAACAGTTCTTAGATTTCCAAAAATGGCGCTGTGTTCGTCATTGGTTGATAATTTCTTTATATACTATATTTATTACTTGTTTCATTTATAGCGCTCATGTTTGCATCCTTCAGTATCGTTATTTGTTGTTAATAAGTATGACATCTATTGGTTGCCTAGACAGTTTTCACTGTGCCACGTGATTTTGTCTATAAGAAGAGCTGATTGGTCGATTATAAACTTTTGTTAACTGAAATTATATATTTATTAATGTTACCAACAGAAGCGTAGAGAAAATGGGCCTTTATTGGAAGAACTAGAATCTGTGGCCTTATTGGTTGAGGAAGCCACCAAAGAAAGAGAAAGATTATTTGAGCTGGCCAATGACCAATTAAAATTAATTAAAAACTCAGTGAAAAATATATTCTTCTATTACAATTATTTATGATAATTTTTATCTATAAATAGGAAGAAACTTTGGATAAACTTATTGAAGCTAAAATAGAAATTGAGCACGACTTTGAGCGGAAAAATAGTGAAGATACTGTTAAAAAAGATCGAATTATAAAGCTCGAAGAAGAAATTAATACCTTGCAAAATGAGGTTTGTTGTTGGTTGGATTTTTTAAAAAAAATATAATGCAGCACTAAAATAATTAATCAGAAGGTAAAGTAATTCATTCGTAAATTAATAATGTTATTGGCTCATGAAAGCTCATTATTTTTAGTATTATTACTTATGTTACATAAAATATATATTAATACTTTTAAAGTTATATTTAACTAAATATAGATTTTTACTTTTACTATTATTATAATTATAAAACAAAAAAATATTTTATAAAATTAAAAAAAATTCAAAATATATTTTTTATTTAAATTTTGTGATGGCACCAAATAATATTTTAAAAAAATCTATTATAGTTAAGTATAGGGTATTATAATAAAATAAGAAAAGTAAAAAAGTTTATCACTTTGTTTTATAATATAAATGTTTTTTTTAAGATAAAATTTTAACAATACTCAACTATGCTTATTTTGGCAACAAATAACTAGAAATCGCCAAATAAAGAATGAAGTATAATGTAATATTAAATGCCAAACTAAGTAATCTTGTTCGAAATGGCAACAAATAATTTAAGTTGACACCAAATAAAGAAGTTGTTTTAATAAAAACGACGCAATAGTTTAATTGGCAACAATTTCATTAAAATGGCAAAATTAGCATAAATAACGTAATCTCAAGAAAATTTTACAATCACACGTCGAATGAAAACTAAGGCTACTGTTTGATTAGTGCGTTAAACTCTACTCGGTATCCGTTTTCTTTCATATAAACGTCTCTGTATCAAAATTACAATTTACTAGCCTAAAATATTTGTATCTTTTATAATTATTCATTACAATTATTTTTAGAAAAAGCTAAAGGAAAATATTTCCGAAAACCAGCAAATCCGCTTAGCAGAACTAAAAAGGTTATATACGAGTATAACTTTTTTAAAATAGTTTCTGCCATAATAAAAAGTGTATTTATTTTTATGTAAAGCCAGTGTAGGGCGTTAGCGTTAGACTATAAAACTCAAGAGCGGATTTTTTATGAACACTCAGAAGATATGAAAAACTTAAAAGTTTACTTTTTATTTAATAATAATAATAATTTAACACTAATAAAAAAAAGGAGGAGGAAAGCAAGTATATACAGAAGTTAAAAACAGTTGACGATCACGAAAGCCGACTTTTGAATGTTTTAAAAGAGCACAAGTATTGTCACCATAAATATTGCCTCTTTAATTTTTTTAATGGTTGTTGTAATTCTAATGAAAAAAAGTAGTTTTTTTATGTAATATTGAAACTGAGAAATATTTTAGAATAGATCGTTTATTGGTTGCTTAGCTATAAACCTAACTTTTATTGGTTAACTGTAGATTAGAACTGTTTACTTAAAATTTTGCTTGCCTTTCCTGCGGAGCCACCATCGCATTATTAATAATAATAAAAAATTTTATACATATTTTTAAAGAAACTTATATTTTTACTAATATGATTTTAAAAAATATATATTATAAACAAGTATTAATGAAACTATTATTCAGTACATTTACTTTGTAATAATGCAACTTAACTATTATTACTTATAGTGATTTTTATAGACTCTTTTCATACTTTTTGAGCGAATTTTTTAACATTCTGGTTTGTCTTATTGAATGGATTTTATATATTTTCTTATAGTATTCACGCCTATAAAGCAACCATGTGGCTGCGCGACCACGCGAGTATCTTTGAAAAACGCGTTTTTGCGCCAAGTAATGAAGAAATATATACAACTTTTTTATTTTATTTTTTTTTTAAATTTTATAAATTATTATTTTTCATTATATATTGTCTTTGTTATTCTATATTACTTATTTTCATTATTTACCCCCTCCCCCCCCCTTCAACTTTATTATATTCTATAATAATAATAATTTTGTTGCGGTACATAATTTTTTTAAGCTATTTAAGTCGGTACGGATGAAAGTCAGCATGTGACTCCCGGTGTTCATGTTCCACAATAATTTGGCGCCTTTTAGGCTGATGCGGTACCCTATTTGCATCGCGAATAAACTATTAGGCGTAAGTGAATAAAATTGCGCAGCGTTATGAAAATAATATGGAACAGTTATTAGTATCGCTACCAGTATAGTTTGAAAAACCAATTAGAAATGTATATCGTGTCAGTATGTACAACGAAATTTGTACCCTCAACAAAATTTGTTGCCAGGGCTATTTTACATTACTTTCTGGTTCTTTTTATTGGTTATTGAAACCTCACTATTTTTACTGTAGTACAATGATTTTACTCCTTGTTGTATTAACAAACTATATTATACTATTAAAAGTTTTAACCCAACTTCATGTGTTGGACATCAAATTCGCTGAATTTATTGAAGCGTCGATCTCCAATCACCACAAATTTTCATTCATTGTGCAAACAAAAAGTGATATGCTCCTGCTGAAGCAGAAATGCAAGGACGAACAAAATTTACTAATTAACATTCTTCTAGCGCCACCGGTAAGTTTTATATATTCAGCCAATAATGTTGTTTTTATTTAGTTTAATATTTATGTTTACTGTTCAACGTACTAAACGCTCATTCGCCCCTTCATAACTATTTTAACCATGGAACTAGTTTTAGTTTATTTTTGGGGTAAATATTTTTTCCCTAAATGTTGGGTTATTGAGATTTTCTATATATATTTCTTTGTTATATTTATTATTAATATTTGTATCCACGCTTTCATTATTTTTTGTGTTTTTTCTTTACGACTAGGAAAATGTTGAGTACCCAACACCTTTGACTCGCGAGCAAATGAAGCAGTATGGCTTACATCATTATATATCCGTATGTTTATTTCGTTGTTATTTATGAATTTTATTAAAGTATTACTTTCTATTTGTTTTAAAGAAAACTTGATAAGTATTTTATGTTCTATAAAAAATAGTTTCATTATTTTTTTAATGACAATTTTTTTTAGTAATTTACTGTTCTCTTAAAAAATTGATATATTACTATTTTGACTTTAAGCACTTTTTTTTTATATTATTGATTATTACTTGTTGAATAAAAGTCTTTTTTTCTAAAATAGACTTTTTCAGAATTTTTTAATTTTTTTTTTATAATTATAAAATGTTGGCGCTGATTATTTCGGTATTTGTTGAAAAATTAAACATTTATATAACTTCAACAACTGTAAGGAGCTTTATAACGCGCCAGCGCCAGTAAAGCGCGCACTTAATGAATATGCTTCCCATTACCGCATTGCTATTGGGGACACCAAGTGTCAAAAATTCGGTATTTTTATTGTCCTTTCCCCCCAACAATTTATTTTATATACCATATTTTTATTTACTCTATTTTATTTTTAAGGCGAACAATTATATGAAAAATCTGTCCGCAATTATTTTTCTGAAGGCGTTTTTTTTCAAAACAAACGCTCTATTTATGGAGATTGCGGACTTGTAAAACTTTATTTTAATATTTATTGTTCTTAAAAAAATATATATTTTCTAAATAAAATAATAATGAAAAAATATGTATATATATTTTTATGAATATTTGAAGAAGAGCTATAAAATAATATGATATAATACTTTTATGTTTTTTTACTATTATTATTAATTTCCATAGAAGTTTTTAGTAGAGTATAATAACACTATTATGAATAATAAAAAACCGAGTATTATAAAAGACAATACGTAACTATATAATAATTCTTTTTTTTCTTACTATATCGTTGAAGTTTTTATTTAATGAAATAATAATATGAATTACAATAAGTTGAGTAATAAAAATAATATAATAAAAAAATTTATTAAAAATATTTTATTGAAACTAATTTAATGAATTATAAAATGAACACTAAAAATTTAAATAAAAAATTTATTGCGATATTGAAATTTATTTTTTATACGATGAATTTTTATAAATTGAGTACTAAAAAAATGTGAAAAAAAACTTTTTGATAATTTTTTATTGAAGTTATTTTTTTTTATAATATAATGAATTTTAATAAATTGAGTACTAGAAAAAAAGTAAATAAAAAAAATTTATTAAATTTTATATCATAAAAGTTTATTATTTTTAATAATAATTTTTATAATGTTGAGTTTTAAGAAAATATTGATATTATGTTTACGAAATTTATTATTTTTCTGTATTATGAACATTTTAAAATTGAGTACTAAAAAATTGTAAATAAAATAATTTTATTGGAGTTTATTATTATACTATAATTTATATAAATTTTTAAAAATGGAGTACCAAAATCTATAAAAAAAAAATTATTTTTTTCTGAAGTTTATTATTTTTTATAATTTAAAAAAAGTTTTATGAATGGAGTACTAAAAAATATAAAATAGAAAAAATTATATATTAATACTATTATTTTTGTTTATATTGTAATACAATAAAAATATAAATAATTCGTATAATAACAAAAAACATGCTTATTTTATTATATGGTATTATTATTGCTTTAAAATTTTTATATTTTATTGTAGTAATTATATATATAATAGTTTAATGACAACAAATTTTTTTATCTAATAATAAACAATAAAATTTATGAATTGCCTACTTTTATAATTTCTAATATAATTTTTCTCAGTTGCCAAGAAAAGAAGCCATTATTTTTTTTTTATGTTCAATATTTTTTCGACATTTTTATTTTTGACTTCCAATTCCATCTTTATTATTGGGTAAAATGTATTATTTGAAAATTTTGAACCAGTAATACTCTTTTTAACTTATAGAGAGCACCTTTTTCTTGTTAAAGAATGACTTTTTATAATTTTTTTTAAAGCATGGAACTGTTTTATTAGTAAAGTTCATGAGTTTTAATTTATAATATTATTTAAACTTTTGTGATTTTTATTATTATTATTATTTATTCATAGATTATTATTTTTATTGTATTATTATTTATTATATAATGCTATTGTTACATATTTATAAGAAAGTTTAATTAATACTTTTTTTAATTAATTATTTATATCTATATCATTTATACTATTATTTATTATAATAATCGATTTATATATTATAAATTGTTGTATGTTTACAATATTAAAAAACTTATATGGTTGCCTTTTTATTATTATTTATTTATATATTATTCTTGCTTTTATAATTGAAAAACGTTAATGACTATTTTTATTATTTTTATTATTATTAGTATTATATATTCATATGATTATAGTTTCTTTATTTTTTTTTGAAATTATTATAATATATTTATATTTATAATATTAATTAATAATTATGCTTTTTTCACTATTTTTTTAATGATATTAAAAAATTTTATTATTCTATAATAATATATTATTGTTATATTATTACTATTATTATTATTATTATTATTATTATTATTATTATTATTATTATTATATATTTATGACATTTTTTTTTAAGTTTTTATAATATATTTATAATAATACCTAAAATTTTAATGTTATCATTATTTTGTTATACATTTATAAAATTGTATATATTTTAATGAATATCTTTATAAACCATTTTTTTATATAAATTACTATTGTTATATATCATAATATTATTCAAAATCTTATAATTACTTTTATTTTTTTTCTTTACTTTTTATTCTTATATATTATTGTTATATATTTTTTTAAATATTATAAAAAACTTTTCTTATTTTTATCATTTTTATAAATTATTAATATTATTTAAACTTTTTTGTATTTTGTATATATTTTGCATCATTTTTTATAAATTATATAATATTATTTAATCTTTTGAATTTTATTTTTTCATTATATATTATAAATTATCATTATATATTTATAGTAATACTTGAAATTTTAGTATTCTTTTCTTATATCTTTTATGAATACTCAATATATTTATTATATAAACATATTTAATTTCCTTACTTCTTTTTGGTTATATTTTCATTAATTTTAATGAATATTATCAAATCTTTTATTATTATATTATTTCTTTATTTTTATATAAACTTTGATTAAATATTTAGATAACTACTACTCACCTTATTCCGAAAGCGAAATATCTTCAGCGAGGCGTAAATAAAAAATGTTATGAAAAATAAAATATATATATATTTGCTATTTTTTTTTAGGTTGATCAGGAATATCGAAAATCTCTCGAAAAGTCTCTAAAAGAGATACAAGAAAATATTGAAATAAAAAGCAGATTGTTGGACGATAATACAAAATTATTGGGCGATCTACGACGACAAATTGACGAAAAAAATAATGAAAAAGTTTTTTTTTACTTTTATTAGAATATTTTTCTTTTATAATATTTATATATTTTTTTAAAAATTCATAATAAATGTTGGCGCTAATTTCCTTTTTTTTAACGAAACATTTTTTTAATATTTATATTCTAAATACATAAAACTTGTTCTTTTTTCTAATTGGCTGTTTTTTTATTCGCATCATTTTTTACAATGTGTAACAAATTATGTAATCGAACGCGAAGTCGTAGTATATTGGTATTAAAAGATACAAACACTGTTACGTACTATCAGAATCTTTTTACTTCGAATACTTTGGTAGCAATTTTTATCGAATAAAATAACACGTAATATAAAGAATTTTGCATTTATTTTTGTTGAATTCATTAATTTAAATACTTGTTATAGACCAAAAAAAAGTTTATGCAACCATTATTAAACTTTTTAACTTTTTATTTATTTTTCATCAGGAAGAATTGAAATGTTTTTATAATACTCTACAAAAACTGCGCGCTAATTTGAACTTAAAGCAATCGACTCTGGAAAGCTTAAAGGTTTTTTTTTAGTCAATTATGAAGTTTTTTTTAGTAAATGTACATTTTTCAAAATTTACACTTTTATTATTATTATAATATATAAAGTAGTTTTTTATAATTAAATCAATATTTTTGTTATTTTTTTAAACTGCGTTTTTAACCAGTATAAGTAAACTCTAAGTAATCATTATTCTTATTGTTATTAAAATCTAAAAAGTTTGTTAACACCGTTTGATTGGTTATTAAAGGCATTTTTTGGAATTCAAAATAAATAAAATTTTGTAATGAATACTTTCGACAAGAAAAACTTACACTTTACTACGCCAATTAAAGGCAGAAGTAAACTTTTCAAGGAATATTTTTAAGGGATTTTTGTTATCTTATTGATTACTTTGAACTTTGTGCACCAATTAGAGGTTGAATAAAGCACATCTTTTAATGAAAAACATTTTAAGGAAAATCTAAAGTTAACTTAAAATTTTGTAAAAATCTTTCGTGGGATATTTTAAAAAAATATTTATTAACTTTTTGCACCAATAAAAAGGAGGAAAAGGCTAACTTTTAAGCTCTATAAGAATATTTTTAACTTTTTTGCGCAATTAAAGGCGGAGAATAATTATAAAATATTTTTATGGCTTTTTTTTAGAAAACTATTTGGGATTACCATAAAGAAAAAAAGATTGTTGACCAGAAAGTCCAAGAATGCAATGAAAAAAGAGCTGCTGAGGCTATCGCCATGAAAAATTATGTTTTGGTTTGTATTTTTCTAATTTATTGAATATTATTTTTTCTTATTTTACTTTTAATAATGTTTTATTCTATATTTTTGTTAGATTTACTAATTCGCTATTTTTTGTTATTTGTTACATTAAAATTTATAAAGTTTCTTTTTTTTCTTGTTCTTTATAGTTCATTATAATAAAGATGTCAAAATTGTAAGGAGTCGTCCATCATTTATCACTTGAGAATATTTCTTTATTTTTACTTATACGAAGTTAAATGAACCGTATAACAAAAAAATAATACCCCTATCGATAACTTTTATAAATATATTTAATGAATAAACGTACTAATAAATAAATATGTATTAAAAAGATTTAGAAAAATATATTTTGAAACAAAGTTTAGGTATTTAAAAAAAAATTTATTAAGTATCGTAATAAAAAATAATTGTTTATAATAATGAGAAACATTTAAAAAATAGTCGGTACTTCAAAAAATGAATATTTTGTTATAATTTAGAAAGATTATCAAAAAAGTAAATAAAATATTATAATAAATATTAGAAGTAATATAAAGTAGAAGTTAAGAAGTAATAAAAACTATATATATTAAGTGATTTTATTATAAACAACTCAAACTAAACGTAGCTAATTATAAAGGGATTAAAACGATCTATTTTTAATGATTTTTAATAATGAAAATAATGAATACTGAACCAATAAAGAAGTTAATAAATGTTAAACAAAAAAGTTTTTCTTATTATAGATTATATTACTTTTCCTTTTGTAGCAAAAAATTTTTTTTAGTAGGGAAATAAAAAAAAGTATCAAAACTTTTTAAAGGAAAAATTATATTTTCTACAATGTTTTTATATATATAAAGATAAAAATTTAATTGACACTTCTGACCAATTAATATCTTTTTTATTTTTATTGGCCGTATAAGAATTGTATGGAAAATCCTTATTATAAAAGTAACATCTTAGTTTATTCTTACCGGTTAAGCAATTTATTATCAAAAGTCTTGTATTAAAAATTTTTATTATATAATTATTATATATGACCAATAAAAGCGATAATAGGTTAAACAATATTTTCTGGACTTTATTGGTCAGGTAAAAACAAATATTAATTACCAAATTAATAAAATTTAAAGTCTCTTTTATAAGTTAATAGTATTTGATTAAATAAAAAGTGCGAACATTATTAAAGATAATGTCTCTTGATCTAATTGGTCAGATAGTTTGCTACCAAAATTTTAATAGAAAAGTTCTTCTTTAATTAAAATAAAAATATATTTATTGTATTTTTATTATTTCTTATAATTTAAATTAAAATTTTTCAAATTTTCTTCGTATATACACTTTTACCATATTATTTTTTGCTATGCGTAAGGTTAAGCTTTTGATTCGATCGAAAAATATTGTATTTAAATATTTCATATTTTGATATTTTAATTTATGAACACTTGAGTAAACCTTTATTAAATGTTTATAATGATTATTAGTTTGTAAAAAATATATTTTAGTTTTAGTATAATTTTTAATAAACTAGAATTTCTGTCGGATATTTGGTAATAAAAAATTAAATTACTAAAAGTTATGTGGAATTAATAATTTTTTTAGTGGATAAAAGAATTTTCAAATAGTTTTATGTGGCTTTTCAAATTTTTTTCAGTATTGGAGGCTTTGAATAAAAATAAAATAACTTACCAATAGTTAACTATAATTATTAATTTCAACTTTGCATTGGATAGTTTATATTACAAATATTTAACCAACATGAAATTTTTCATTAAATTTCTGTTTTCTTTTTTTACTTTAAAATTATTATATTTGTTGTTTAATGGTTATTTATAAAAATTAAGCTGTACAAAATTAATTTTCTATCCTTTTACACTTTTTTTATCTTTTTGGAGCTGTTTAAAATTTATCAGTGAATTTAATGAACTTTGCGCAGTTTTTTTTTAAGTTATCTGTATCTTTTTAATGAGTTTAAAAAGATAGATTCCATAACAAGTATAATAATTTTTTTGCGGAATTTTTTTTTATTTACAAAAAATAATAATTTTTACACTTTTTTCACATTTTTTAATGATATGTACTTAACCAATAACTTTTTGACAGTCTGCTTCTAATATGAGTGAAAAAGCCATTCATACTGCTATTGAATTAGTTTCTTTACAAGCTAGAAAAGTCGCTATCGAGCAAAAAACTAAGGACTTGACTAACGTTTTCTTTTTTTTTTTATACGTGTTCTTTTTTTTATTTTTATATATTAAAGTTTATTTTATAGTTTGTGAAAAAGACTTTTACCTTTTATAATATTTATAGTTAAATATCCGCACTTTAAAAAAAAAAGGAAACAACTACATATATACTATATAAAATATATTTTCAAAAAGTTCTTTCCAATATTATCAATCTTTGAGAATTTTTTTAATTGGTTGTCTAAAGTTAAAAAATTTTAGAAATTTATATATTTATACGCAGAATAAAATTTATTAAAAGTTTATAATTAAAAACTTAAGAATTTTTAATTTTATATTTATGTAATAATATTTTATTATATTCAAATGTAAACAGTATTAGGAATGCTAATAAAAAAGTAAAAATGTATATTTATATTTAATTAAAATTAAAAAAGTTAATAGAAATTTATAAAAAATGAAATATTATAAAGCGGAGTATAATAATTTTTTTTAAAAAACAAGAAACACCCGATAAGAAATTTTAAAAAAAAACTTGTTTTACAGCGCGCAAACATTAAATAAAATAATTTAAACAAAAATATACAAAACTAAGCAAATCAGTATTTAACGCGCAATCTTTTTATAAAGTATTTTTTTTCATTATTTTTCTTGTAATTTTTTTCAGGTTTTTTATCATTTTTTGTTTTTGCTTTTTTTAAAATTTTTTTACATGAATTTTATTTTTGCGTTTTTTTGTTACTTTTTGTTTTTATTAATGATTTTACTTTTAAATATGGAGAAAAAAATAATTTACTTATGATTCTTATTTATATTAAATTTTAATATATAATAAACGAGAAACAACGAAAATTATTTTTACAACAGAAAAAAATTTTTCAGCCCACAAAAATAAAATTAAAAATTCGAACTTTTATTAAAAACTTTCAAGTTTATATAAAAATTATGTAAAGTGAAAAATTAAAGAACTATTAAAAATTTTAATAAATTTATTAGAAGTTATTTTTTCCTTAAAAAAGTTTTTTTTAAATCTTAAAAATGGAAATTTTTTTATAAATATAAATGGAAGATAAAGAAAATTTTATAAAAAGTTATTATTTTTAAAAAAATAAAAAAATTCTAAAAAAGTATTGCTTTTGATGACAAAGTTGACAATCAAAAATATAATAAAAAATAAAGTTAACGAAAAATAAAGGAAATTTTGAAAAATGTCATTATGGGTTATAAAAATAGTGAACATAAAAATTTAACTGTTTGTATTCTATCGGTTGAAAAAATAATGAACTTTAGAGCAAATTTTAAAACTACCTTATAAGCACTTGAAAAAGTTAAATAAAATATTTTCTAATTAAAAAATACTTAATACTAATTTACAAAATTGTTTTTTTTATATTTTATAATAAAAAAGAAATTTAAGAAAATTTTACAATTTTTTTAAAGTTACGATCGCTTTTTCTGTAAAAAAAGTTTTCTATTTTTTCTTTTTTTTACTTATCTTTTTGCTTTTCAATCTCAATATTCTTATTACGTTTCGTTATATATTATTATTATTGTTATTATTATTATTCAGGCACTTAACAATCTAGAAAATACTTACCAGAATATTTCAAAACGTCTTCAGGAACTTCGTGAACAGTAAACTTAATTGCTTTTCTTAATATATTTGCGGCAGCTTTACTTTTTATGAAAAAATTGACGCAATATATAATGTGTCGTGCAAAAAATTCGTGCGGTCAGCAATAGAGGCTTATTTTTTTTGTTGGTCGTTATTTGTTTGTACTCTGCCTTAAAGTTTATAATATTTATTATTATCTTAAATCTTCACCAAAAAAAAGTGCACAATTCTACTTCTAAATTAAATAATTCAAAAAGCTTTATATTGTAGTAAAAGATATTAATATATTTCATTCATTATTATTCTTATTCTTATTCTTCTTATTAAAATTAAAAGTGCACGAAAGCTGCTAAAAGATGCCCTTGAGCAATGCGACTGCCAAGACGAAACTTTCACATCTGCTTTTTCTTTGCTTCCAAATAGCCTTGAAGAAATTAACGATCTGGTATTAGTTATCCTCTTATTTAGCATTTTTTTTTAATGGATTATTATTCATACTAGCTTGCCCAAAAAGAGGCTGTTATTAGCTGTAGTGGTGGAATAGAGCCTCGCTTGCTCGAAGAATACGAACAGCGCCAGAAAGAAATACACGTGTTTATATTATTATTACTATTTTTTTTTCTATAATAAAAACGTCGTATTTAATTTCACATAAATTATTATTATAAAATTACCAATTGAAAGACAAGAAAGTCAGCTTTGGCCCAATCCCTCGACAGTTACGCAACCCTTTCAAACGAAATCGGAGCTCTCAAAGTCACATGGTTAACGCCTCTTAATGAGATGTTGAAGGAAGTTAATGAAAAGGTTATTATTATTATTATTATTTATTTATTTTACTTTGTGAATTATTTATTTGTGCAGTTTAGTACTTTTTTCCGGTCTATAGGATGTGCAGGAGAAGTGCTTTTAACTGAGCATAATGACTTTTCAATGGTTTATATGAATATAATGAAAATTTTGATAATAAAATAAATGCTGCACAGTACGGGTTGGATATCCGTGTCAAATTCCGTGCTTGTGATTCGCTTAGCGTTCTAGATCACCATCGCCAATCAGGTACATCTAAAATTACTCTCATGCCCAATTTCAAGCTCTTTATTGGTTCTAAAGGTGGAGAAAGAAGCGTAAGCACAATGCTTTATCTAATGGCCATGCAGGGGTTAAACACATGTCCCTTCCGGGTCGTTGATGAGATCAATCAAGGCACGTTTTTTAGCGAAAAAGTTTATTCTTCTGCCCCACCTTATATCAACCAATCCGCAAAAGGAATGGATCCAGTTAACGAGCGAAGAGTTTTCAGTATAATATCAGCAGTCGCAAGTCAAAGTGGGACTTCACAATACTTTTTGATAACCCCCAAACTTTTGCCTTCTTTAACGTTTACAGAAAACACTTCCATTTTATGCGTTTTTAACGGTAATACCATAATGAACCAAAAAAAGTGGGACATGTCAAAATTTTTAACAAGAAAAACTATTTGTTCTTAAAAAAAGTTATTAAAATTAGAATTTTTATTTTAAAAATAATTCTTTTGTAAAAAAAAAGTTGGCTAGAGCAATCTTTAGCCGATTTTTTCATTAATATTTACTTCAACTGGTGCTTCTGCGGTCCCCAACACCAAACAAAGCTAGTAGCTCTGCCACATGGTTTAAGAGAAGAGGGTGGTTGCAAACGTTGTTTAAGAGATCTGAGTTGCTCATGGGCTGGGTCTCTTTCTGAAAACGAGCAAAAAAAAGTTTATGAATTCCTAATCAAGTTCCGCTTAGCTTACTAAAAAATAAAGTTATGTTTATATACAAAAAAATTGAAAATTTTATAAATGTAAAATTATATTAAAAAGTAAAAAAAGGTAAAAATATAAATATTAAAGTAATAAACTTACTTTAATTTCTTTTAAAAAAGAGTTAAAAAACACAAACCGACATATAAGCAATCGCATAATGTTGTCTCCTATAAAACGCAAGACCACACCTTCAAAAGCAAGTATTTAAGAAAATATATAAGCTTGTGAAAGGGAGGATAAAAGCAATAAACGTGTCAAAAATTTAAAATTCAAAAAATTTAAAAACTGTTCAAATTAATATCATAGAAGGCTTCCTATATCTTTCTTTCTTACAAATATATAAAGAATAACTAAACAAAACGAGCTTTTTAATAAACCTTTTAATTAGTGAGATTTATTAAGTATGACACTGAAATAAGAATAAAAATAATTTTAAATAGAATCCACACATTAAGGATGCTTAAAATAACTGCCTCCAGCTAACTTGAGTAAATAAATAGGCATTTCTATTAAAAACCTATTTTAGGTGTAGTGTAAAGTATCCGCGCTTGCCTTGCTAAACTCTTGCAGTTGATCAGTAATTAAATATTTATTATTACTACAACGTTACGAATTTCACCGAGTGCTTCTTTTTTAATCCAAATCCTTTTCAGACTATATTGAAGGCTTGGTTATAAAGACCTCTAAACGCTTAGCTTGGAGGTAATAAACTTTAGCGCCTACAATAAGAAAGCAGAAAAAAGTAATTGGAAACGGTTTTGCTTCAACGCCCTCTCAGCGCTAATGAAATCATTTTTATATTATTTCTCTCATATTTGTTACTGGCATACCACAATCAATATGCAAACCACATCTTGATTGCTCAACCCTTATGCCTCCTAACCTAAAAGAGAGGTGAAGAAAAATCCAGTCTCTCCAAAAGGCTCGACAACTTCATTGTTTGCGTACCAATCCAAGAGCAAGTAGTAAGGAGTCGGTGAAGATTACAATTTTACGTATATATATATGTATATAATTCTCTATTGATGCAGTTGCTTAATCTTTCTAAGCATATTGGCTGAAGGCAGATTTTAAAGCATTTACGACACAAAAACGTACAAATTAACAAGCACAAGCTAATTTCCCAATTTGCGCTTTTTTTTTTAACAAACTTATTACATAGGGAGTGTGTCACTGAATTGGACAAATAAGTAAAAAGTAATCTTAAAAAAATAATACTGTCGTGGTCGTCTGCTTTACAGGAAGTGAGCATCAGTTTTATAATTTCTCCGTAAATCCGTAATAAACGAGCGTCACAAAGCTCATAAGATTTGCGCTCCATTTCACGTATTCTGTTCAACGAGTGTAATAAATTTCTTTTCATAAGCGATTATGTTTCTTCGGTAATAAAATATTTTAATCACTAAAAATTCCAAACTTAAGTATAGGACTTAACGTTTGAGAAATTTTTAAGTCGTAAATTCTCTCCTTAACTAAACCATAGAAAAATAAGTATTAACTGATTCTTGCTTTCTTTAAGTATACTAATATAACAAAGAAAAGTTAAACCCAAAAAACAGAGCCACGGCTTCAAGGGGAGAGGAGAGAAACCATGTAAATGTCGAGCCCGTTTTTACTTTTTCTCCAAAGTCCTTGTTGCATTCATATAAAATTGATAATTCATTAAAAAGTTGTAGTAAAAATTTTTTTATCCGCAAAGGGTAGATAAAAGTTTTTATGGTTGGTTTATATTGTAAATATTAAAAAATGCACTCATCAAAATTTTTTTAGTCGCCACCAACAGTTAGCTATTATCCTTAATAAAGAGAACTTTTAATCTTGCTAGAAGTTACAAAATAATATTTACTTAAAGTAATTTTCCGTTAATAATATATTTGTTTTATCCTGTATATATAAATAATTTTCTTCCTTGCATTTTAATGTGTAAATTTCAAAAATATTTAGATATAAGTTTAATTAGGCTATTCTCATAAATTCTATCGTATGCCTCCGAATCGGAATATGGGAAATTTTAAAAAGAACAAATAAGTTATAACTTTACTTTAAACTTCATCCAATGAAGCAATAATATAAGTTTTTACTAAATGCTAAAATTCGCACCGTCTTAAATATATATGTAGATATCCTGCGCCTGGCCCCTCGTAAGTAAATTATTATTACAGAAGTACTTATTATGAAAGATCGTCGCACTTGTTAAAGACGACTAGACTACTTCATACGTTTATTAATCTTTTTATATGTTTAAATCGTTTGAAAGAAAATGACGCGCCTTACAAAGAGATAATTTACATTGTGCCTGTATTTACTTAAAAAGCAAACGCCTTAACGGGAATTTAACGATCTCAATTTTAAATAATCTTTTCAGAAGATTTTTGATTCGTATTACAATAGCTGAGGAGTTTCGCAAAGCGAATGAAATTAAATTTTTACTGATTTTATAAAGCAAACGCCTTATGGGCAAAGAAATAAACTTGCCTTGCCACTCCGCTAGAATTCTTTTAAGGGTTTAACTTAGCCGAATAATTTCAAACAGTAATGGCTAAACAAATTATTTCCTTCGCTATTGTTGCAATTCTTTCGTTTTTGGTGAAAAACTATATAACTCAACAAAACATGCTAACTAAATTATTAACAAATCAAAATTCTTCCTTAGCACATGCCTACGTGGAAAAGTATATAATTTGGGGTGCTAGTGCAAAAAGGGTGCAAAATAGATGTACTTTTAGTGGGTACTAATATAAAAGTCCAAATAAAACAAGAAAAAAAAATACTCTCAGGGGTAATGCTGGACCACTTGAAATGCATAATATCGGTATGCTAAAAGGAGAGCAGAAATCCTGATAAGCATTTAAAAATAAATATAATAAGTTTTATACTACATAAAAAAAAAGTTCCTCAGATAACATCATTATAAAAAAGCTTTATAAGTTTAAAAATGTAAAAATTATTATAAAGTAAAAAAGTTATATAATAACAGAGAAAAACTAACAAAAAACCTTTGAAAATATATCAGAAATCCTGATAAAATATATACAATAATAATAATTAAGAAGGAACAAAAGTACGTTAAAAAGTTTCACGTTTTCAATATCTAATATTAACAAAGTCGGCTTTCTAATGAGCCGAAGTAAGTCTTCCGGGTAGAGCAGTTCTTTTATTGGTGAACATGTGTTAAGCTTCTACTTTTTAGTGGTATGAAAATTTAATAAGGACGCTTAAATTAGAAATATTGGAAAAGTATTTTATAAAATAATGTAATAAGAAAAAATAGTGAAAAAAGCATGCATCCTGTTAAAAAGCTTGGGGTTTTCGGTACCAAGTAGCTGTAGTTCTACCAAATAAAGATACTGGCAAAATCCAGTGGCCAGTTACAATATTTTTCTTTCATATAAATATGAAGTTATATATAATTGGGCAAAAGTGTATTTTTTTTATTTGTGCCAATAATATTTATTGCTATACCAAAACTACACTATTTTTTTGTATCCTCAAAATTTGGGAAGAAAAAAATAAACAAAATCTAATGAATATAAAAAAATATATAAAACAGTTTGTTCTTCTTTTATTATATTTCCTCCTAACAAAAGTCCTTCAGAACGACCTAAAAAATAATAAATGCTTCAGCTCCAAACATTCATAGATATATTTTTTAATAAAATATAATTTTTCCAAATATTTTTATTATTAAAACTATTTTTTTACCGTCCAAAGTTAATACTTCAGTCGAAAAATACAAAAGTACAGCAGAAGTGTTATCATTAAGTTCCTAGAATAGTGATAATATTATTATTTTATTATTATTAATATTAGTTTTATTAATATTTTATTTATTATTATTATGGTTATTGGTTTTTTTAATATTAATAATATTCTGTATTATTGTTATTATCACAGTTCAAAACCTTTAATGCTGCAGAGATAAACAAGAAAAGGGTTGCAAAGTCTGGACGGATAAAGCATATACTTATGAGGGTTGCTTTGAAAGTTTTTAGTAATTTTTTCTTGTTCATTCTTTTATTATATTCATAAAAATATAAAAAAAATATAAATAATACATTTAAATAATAAATAAAAGGTTTTGGGTCCATAAGAAATTTGAAAATAAAATTATTTTCATTATAAAGTCTTTATTGATTTAGTATTTTTCAAGTTAGAATAAGAGCTTGAAGTGGTGAATAAAAGTAAAAATGTATATAAGAGCTCAAATTAAACTTTGATTCGAAGGTAATGAATATTTTATTATGTAAATTAGTGGACAACCGATCACAACTTGATACCAAGTAAAAGATTGTGGCTGGCTAATCAAAGCTTTAAAGCACATGATCGAACCGAGACTAAAGCCACGCGATTAGAGTACTACACTAAACCCGCCAAACTTTCCTAAACATTCACTGCACGTGTTTTTCTCTAATGTATGCAAATTATACAATGAAAAGATCTGCTGACGACGTTTGCTCGAGCACTTGAAGCATATAAAATAAGTCAAGTGACAGCTCACTGAAACTGTTCTATTATATAAATAATAAAAATAGTTTACAATCTTATAATGAATTATTAATTTATAAAAAATTTCATCAATAATAATTAATATTATAGTAATAAATATAATAAAAGTAAAATTTATATTATAAAGAAAAGTTTCATAATAAATAAACAAATTAATTCCTAAAGGAAAGAATATAAATTTAGAATAATAACCAAAAGTTAAAAAAATATATACTTTATGATAAGTTTTGAATATTAAATTATGATATAGAGTAAAATAATGAAGTTAAAAATTTTTTTTAATAATATATAAAATAAAAAAGTTATAAACGTTTACACATAAAAATTAAACATAAAGAAATTGATATAAAAAATTTATAATAGTAAAAGTTAAAAATTATTTTATTATCAATAAATAAAAATAAAGTGATGTACATATAATAATACTGGAAGTATAAATATTAGCAATAATAATATTAAGAAATATATATATACAAGGAATGTTTGTTAAGAAGTATTTTATTAAACTTTTAAAAAGTGTACAAATAATAATAATAACAAACATAACACTGATTTATACTTTATAATATTATTATATAACTCTAACTACCCAAAATCTTTCTTTCTACAAAACTTTTTAGATGTTATAAAAATAAGAAAATACTTCATAATAATAGAATAAACCAAAAAAATTAAACTTTTTAAGTTGAATTGTAATAAAAATATAATAATAATAATAATAAAACTTTTTAGTATAAAATCAGCTATAGAAAAAAAAACTTTTCTTAATTTTGTTAAATATTATTGTAGGTTCCTCAGTTCTATGAAATATTAATATTTTTTGATATCATTTTTATTAATAATTTTATATAAATAAGTTAATATGAAAAATAATAAATTACTATTATATTTATATCCATGTAAAATTTATAAACTTTTTAATATCTTTATTTATATTTTTCCTTAACTTTCATAATTACAAAAAAAACTTTCATAAAAACGAAAACAAAATGAATTTTTGAAATAAGAAACCTGCGAACGTTTATTAGATATTAAAATAACTTCTTTTAGTTTTAAAGAATCTTCCAATAAAAAGTTTGGGAGGCGTGAAGAGCAACCGCGAAGGTTTACGAGTTTGCCAGAAACTTTAAGACGATCATGCTGTTAAGTAAAAAAAAGTTTGTTGTTTGCTTATATTTATATATTTCTTTATAATTTTATTTATAACTTGTTTTATATTTATGTGTGTTTATTTATTTCTTATAGTATTTATTTATTATTTGTAAATTTTATTTATATAAGTAATACCGTTAAAAAATGGTCAAGTTGGTTTAATAAAAGCATCCAATCAGTGCAAAAGTTGCCATGAAGAAACGGAGAAGATTGAGTTAACTATTTATAATTCATATTATTTATAAAAGTAATAATAAAGTTTCTTATAATATTATTATATAATGAAAAGAAGCAAAAAATAAAGGAGATATTTTTAAATTACTATTAAAAATAAAAATTATTATAGATAAAGAAATATTTCATAAAAAAGATTTGGTGTAGAAAGCAAACTGAATTAATATAATTATGAATTATAAATAAATCTATAATTAGGGAACTTAATAATACTAGTATTAGTGATATTAACAATATTAATAATAAATTTTATCGTTTTTTTATAAAGTCTAATCACAAATTACAGAAAGAAATTCAGCAAAAACTAATCAAAAACGGTTTCCCCTCTTTTTATGTATATGATTCACGAAATCACCTGTAATTAAATTTACACTCTACCATTTCTGTAGAAGTTTATACTAGTTTGAGGTAAATAGTAATAACCAAAAAGAAAAACTGTTATAAAAATTATAAAGATTTTTAACGAAAGGATTCACATTGAAATTTATTTATACTGAAAAATATTATATATAAACTTAGTAACTTTTGAAAAATATAAATGATCCCAAAAAAAAAGTATAAATAAGTAAATTAAGGATCTATAAAAGCTCGTAGAAAAGCATATTTTATTTTTCACCAAAAAAATTTAAAGGGGGATCTAAATTATTTATGAAAAGTAACTTTCCTTTTTATAACTTTGTTTAACTTTCTAATTAATAATTTACACATTTAAATAAGTTAAAAAAAAAAACAATTCTGATCTAGCGATAAAGCGGACAAAATTCTTTTAAAAATTATAAATAAAAATTATTATAATGAAAAGTTACCAAAGTTTTACATTCTTCTTTTAAATCCTTCACCAGTTCAAAAAAGTTCAGTAAAAGACAAACTACAATAAAACGGGCGTAATACCGAAACTTTTTATATGTAAAATCTTCTACAAATCTAAAACGTAAACAAATCACTACAAATAATTTTAATTTAACAATTAATAGGAAAAAAAGGCAGTAAAAAGATAATAATAATAAAGTTTCTATACAAATAATAACACAAGAATACTTTTTAAAAAGTGCAAAAAACATAGTAAAAAATTTATAATTTGAAAATTTTCAAAAAGATTTACTTAATTTTTCTTTCAAGATATACTTTTTGGTTAAAAAAAATAAAAAAGGTAAAAAATAATATTAAAAAAATCTAAACTGTTCCCTTTCAGTCAAGACAAAATATTCGCTTTTCCTAATAGCTTCGTAGAAGATGAAGGATTCTAGTAAAGAATTATAATCACTTGTCCTTAAGTAATAATGATAGTAAAGCTGAGCAATTTTTGAAGCAATATCTCCAATATCACTTCTTTTTAATTTAAACTCGCTATTTAATATCTCTCTATTTAAAATATGACAAAAATTAATCTATATTTTGGTAAAGTAAATTTTATACAATTTAGGTAACTATTAAAATAAGGGGTCTAAGGTAAAATTTCTTTGCTATTATAAACCTATTTTTTTTTTGAAACTTCCATAACTTTGTATAAACTGTAAAAGCTTGAGCAAAAAAGGGTCTCCAATGCTTACGCCCATACTGTGGTACATCCCTGCAAAAACAAATATAAACGAAGTAAAATATTTTAATTTTTAAAATATAAATTTTTAAAAACAAACTTTAAAACATTGAAACTTTTCTGTGCCTCTTCAAATAGAGCTTTAAATTCTTTGACAATAGTCTTTTTTTTCATAAAAAACGT